TAGTCATTTCTTACTAGCGCCAGTGATTTGTATACTTTCGCATTTATTAAGAGCTCACACCCCCCTATCATATTCACCTATCACCGCAGCCCTGTGAGGCAGTAACATCACCCGCTCTCCAGCTGAGAGAAGGTCATTTGTGCAGATTTGTCCCATGACCCCAGGCCCTTTGATGCCACCCCTTTGTTCCCCTTGAGGAACAAAATTGCCTACCGCCTGACACATCTATAACCCCTTCCTGCTTAAGTGTAGGAAATTTGCAAGTCCGGAGCTGATTCCCCATTTTCCTTTTAAAAGCCGACCAAGCCCTCTGAGGGTGCTTAATAAATACTGACTAATGAACCTGCAGCTGCCGCTCCTTTGGCTAATTAAGTCTAAATAAGTCACAGACTTTAAATTATGCAACAAGGCTCGGCCAAAACAGCTTAAAAATGCGGGAGCCCTAGCTTTTCTGCTGTGCCCTGTAGAAAAATCCCATCCTTTAATCATGCTTAACCTTCCTGAAGGGACAGTGGCAGCCTTTAAATAATGAATGAATGTATATTAGCAAGATTTCCCCAAAGCTACACACATCAGAGGCCAATCAAAAAAGGGACGGAGACAGAGACAGGCCTGGGGAGATTCGGGAGTTTCTGGTGAATCCTGGAGCGCTGGGGGAAATCGTTTAGTTCCTTAGGAGCCCAGAGCAAGGACTTCGGAGCAGCAGCGCAAGAGGAGGCCAGATGTGTCGCCTCCCTGGGCCGCAGTGCCGGATGCTGTTGGAGGCTTGCGTAGCACTTCCTGGGCCTACGTGCTCAGTTATCCTCTCCCTCCTCCTGCCCATCTTGCTTTAACACCTGCAACCTCCCTTCCGCAGACCCTCCAGGCCAAGAGCAATGTCTTCACAACAAGGCCTTGGTGGAACTGAGGCACATCACTTAGAACAGAGAGCTTCCCGGACTTTCTAAGATGCCCCAGGCAATGCAGATGCAGCTGGTCCTCAGGTGGGCACGTTGAGCTGAGTTAATGAGGATTTAGGTTTTATTATGTGGCTGCCCATTATAATCAATGGGGCACTTTCAAGTCTACCAACCTGCCTGGACACCATCACAGATCAATTGAATCCAAACGTAGACTTTGGTTCTTTTTAAATTTTTTAAAGACTGAGTTAAACTCTAGAAGATAACTTATAGGTCACCCAAATGAAGCCTAGAAAACTTAACTGGCTTGCTGCAGTCAGTCGTCTGCTGAAGTGGGATTAGAAACAGACATGGCCTGTTTCCTTTTCCCTGGGTGTTCTGTGTGGCCCTGTTACACACTCAGTCTGTAGCAGCTCAGTGTGAATGGACTGACAGGCGAGAGATGTCGACGTGTCGGGGTACTGGGCTTCGTTCTAGGGGATCTGGGATTGAGGAAGGGGAGGGATCTAGGGGTAAACTTGCTTCCTCTTGCATCTTTGCTGAAGGTACCCAGCACAGAGGGGCAGGCCCTTCTAAGTCCCCAGGCAAGGCTGCTGTCCTGGTTGTGTAAGGTCATAGGGCCTTAGGCAGAGGTCAGGAGGATGAAGGCAAAGCTGTCCCAGTCACGTGTCCAGAGAAAACCGTGACCTTCATGCTGTGGTATGTGAATGAGGCCTTAAGACAAAAGTGGGCCAGGCCCAGATTGGCTGCAATTGTGCACTCCACCCAATTGTCTCAACCTCCACTATGACTCTGGCTCAGTGCTGGGGAAGGGGGTGGGAACTGGGCCTAAAAAACGCTGGGTATGGGAGACACAGTCGTTTATTCAGTATCCACCCCTTCTTCTTTCATACTATCAGAATCCTAATTTTGTTCAATTCTACAACAGTGCCCATGCAAAACAAACAAACAAACAAAAAACTTACCATCTCAGATGCCTTGCAGCTAGGAGCAGTCACATGACCAGTCTGGGCAGTGAAATGTAAGCAGAAGTCTCTAGGTGAGTCTTTCCGAAAAGCTTTTAAAAGGTGGTTCCCCCCCCCCGGCCCCCCACCAGCCCCACTCCTTCTGACTTGGAGTTTGGACCTGATGCCTGGAGCTGCAGCAGCCATATTGAGATCATGAGACTGAAAAGCTCCGGGGTGAGGAGGATAGAGGCTGTGCGCTAAGGATAGTAGAGCAGAAAGAAGCCTAAGTCCTCTCTGACTTCCTAGAGCAGTTCCATCAGTCATGGACTGCCTTACCTGGAACTTCTCAGTATGTGAGAATCATAAACCTTTATTTTGTTAAGCCACTGTGGCTGGGTTTCTTTTACAGTGAATGCATCCTCACACACACAGGACCTTTCCAAAGAATATTCCTAAATTGGAAATGGGAAGAAAAGCTCCAGGCAAGAATATGGTCCCCTGAGAGAGAGGGAAAGGGGGTTTCTCCCCTCTTTTTTGGGTGGGAGGGTCACTATCTCTTTCTACAATTTTCAGGAATTCTCTATTTTCCAAGGGATTGAGCTCATAATTCCTCAGACCAACATTTAGGACTATAAAATTGGGCTCCAAATTACTTTTCCAGGCCTGTTACACTTAGTTTACACCATTCACTAGAGCAAGCGTGAGCCTTCTCTTTCTCCTGAATACAGCTTATACATTCCCATCCTGATCTCAGTTCATGTGAGTTCTCCTGCCTCCTTTCCACCTGTCCCAAGCTTCCCTGTCCTTGTGGGCCACTCTTTCCAGAAGAAATCCCATCCCCTTGGGCTCCAGGGACCTCTCCTTCACCACTGACTGATAGCATCTTTATGTTTTCCTGGGTCATGGCCTCATGTCCCCAGCAAGGCTGTGAGATCCTCTAAGTCAGGATCTTGGGAGCATAGCAGTGTAGAGAGGCCATGTACTTGGGAGTCAGACTTGAGATCTAAGATGGTCTTGGGTGTGCCACTTAACCTCTCTGAGCCTTAGTGTTGTCATCTGTGAAAGGGGGCCGATGTACATCCCTGCCTCCCAGGGCCCCCGTGAAGACAGCCTCCCCAAAGCATTTAGCTACCTGAGATGTTCACACTGGAGGTGTTCAAGATGTGCTTGTGTGTTCACTCATTGCCTGCTTGGTAGCCCCTCAGCTGTGGCTTTTTCCTATCCTTTGCTTCTCTCTCCACCTTTGTCTCTCTCCTGAGTTTCTGCTTTGCACTTGAACTGGGAGACATGTACCAAGTCTGAACTGTTCTTATTTTCCCACAGGAAAGATCTTAGGCTGCTGGCTCTTTAATCACAGCAGAAGGCATAGAGGGGAGATTTCATGCCCATTGCTTGGGGGTGAGATGAGGTGCTAACTGCTCAGGAGAGTTAACTAAGTCTTTCTCTGAAGATTTGTAAGGAAAACGAATGCATGTATTAAAGCCCTGTTTTACCTGGCAACAGGTGATGGACTAAATGACCTTATAGCACTTGGTATTTTTCGCAAACTTCCAATTCCGTCTGCTATAACAAGGTAACCATCCATCTGGGTGTTTTTTTGTTTTTGTTTTTGTTTTTTTAAATTGATATCTTGACTTCCTTCTTTTGCCCCAATCCCACCCCAGAAACCCAGATCAAATAAGATGGTCATGAGAAGTGACCCATAGCAAAACCCCTACCATTGAGCATTTAATGAGAAATGATGGCTTTATTACTTCCAAGTAAGCTGGTGCATGGAGCTATAAGTAGCACTTGGCATTTTTTACAAATGGGGGCGGCTGCCTTGAGTTGAGCGGAAGAGAAGTCACCATAGTCTTGGATGGCAGGATAACACGCACTGACACTGACTCCTGGAGAGGCCGTCTTTTTTTTATGCTTTTTTCTTCACTGAGCATCACTCAGAGAGCCCGAGACAGAAACTGACTCTTTTGTCCCTCTTTAGGCAGAGTCCTATGCCTGGGAAGAGGGGGGTTTCTAAAGACTTGATTGATTGCACAGCTGTCCAGCCTCATTCCGTTTTCTGCCTGATCCCGGATGTCTCCTATACCTTAGCCAGTCTGCCAGCCATCATTCCCGGGCCGGCTGCCGGTCCGTGCAGCTGTCAGTGGCCTAAGGGCGTGTGTGACAGAGAAGGGGTGGGGCGGGGGGCTGGCAATGGGGGAGTTGAAGTTTTTTTCCTTGTTACACATGCACCTGGCAGCTTCATTAAAAAAAAAAAAGATTTTATTTATTTTTAGAAAGGGGGGAGGGAGGGAGCAAGAGAGGGAGCAAAATATTGATGTCTGAAACATCAATCAGTTGCCTCTAGCACGCCCCCAGCGGGGGACCTGGCTGCAATCTGGGCATGTGCCCCGACCCAGAATTCAACTGGAGACCTTTCGGATTGTGGGACTAGGCCCAACCTACTGAGCCACACCGGTCAGGGCTGCAGCTTCATTTTGTGCCTCCCATGAGTCCTCTAGTGCTTAAAGGCTGTTTCTTTAGGTTGTGGTTGTCATTTATTTGGGGTGGGGGGAGGTGTGTGCCACTCTATTGTGGACAACTGTGTACTTACTGTGTTCTCTCCCTCTCTGCATGAGTGTGTGTGTGTGACTTGGGGGCTGGGCTGTGCAGCCTGTTTGATTCCTCCTCCCACTTTTCCTCTACGGCGGCGGCCTTGCTGACCTGCCCTGGGCCCAGTCAGGCGTTCAGCTCCTCCTTCCCAAGGGCCCCAGGAGGATGCCCGGATTCTGCTCCCCTGCCTCACCCAGGTGTGTGCTGCTCACTGTGTGCCAGTCCGACTCTGACCGGCTAGTCCTGGGCTCCCCGAGCTTCAGCGTTTCTCTTTGTGAACTGTGTGTGGCCCGAGGGCAGGCTCCAGGCCTGTATGACCGACTGCGTGCGGTCCCGCTCAGGCCCAGTGCTTCCCAGACCCTTGCCAGTGGTGTCACGCACCCCAAAGTGTAAAAAGCTAACGGCGAGCCGTTTCTAACACCACGTTCTGATTGCAGGGAGGCACCACCTTAAGGCAGGAGGGGCCGGGGAGGGAGGAGACAGGGCAGCTCAGGCTAACCTGGGTCATGTCCCAACAGCACTGTAGCACGGAGGGTCCCAGGGACGGAGAGAACAAAGGCACTTAGAAGTAGGACCATAAAGTTTTAATCAAACAGAGCAAAATGGCCGCGATGCAGAACAGGTAGTGCTTGGAGAAGAGAAAGAAGATCATCTCCTTGGTGACATAGATAATGTGTATAAAGATGAAGCAGTACAGGAACAGGGCAAACTGGTTCTGGGGGTGCAAGAGGTCCTGGAGGCCTCCTGAGAACTGTGGGGGAAAGAAGAGAGTGGAGCTGGCACAACCAGGGCATGGGCGCCAGGCAGAGCTGGGCTGCAGTCTGCTCTTGTGCCTTCCTGAACGTGACCTCCCGCAGGTGGTCTTCCTCACCTAAGGGAGGGGAAATGGTGCTCACCTCACAAGATTGTGAGGAGGCAGAGGCAAGAAATCAGAAATTCCTAGCCAGGTCACTGGCACATAGAGGGCACTCATGGGCATTTACTTCTGGAGTCTGCTCCTGCCCCCCGCCCCCGACTTAGGCCTCCCCGTCTCTGTTTCCTCCTGTTTCTGAGTCACACAGGTAGGCAGTCTCCCCTGGCCCTGACATCCTAGATCCGGAGGCCAGGTCTTGGCGGGTTCTCTGATGGTTTTGCCCTGACACTTAACACCTTGTTTTCTGGACAGTAGCCCAATAAGAGAGTGTCCCTTGGGCACAAGTGACTGTTTCTGATTCTCTTTGTCCTGTCTCACGTCAAATGAGGTCAATCCGCAGTCCTTCGGCCGAGGCTTGGTCTCTCCTGAGGACAGGCAGTGGGAATCTGATTGGGTGATGGTGGGACCTCCCTAAACTCTCGGAGTCTTGGGCATGGGGGACAGCGTCTTGGGTTGTCTGGCTGATTCTGCCTGGGTGTTGTTCTTTTCTGGAATCTATACAGCTGAGGTTTGACAGAGCCCATTTGAACCGTAGAAAGCATCGACATATACGTAAGACGATAGCTGATAAGGTACCACTGTGGTTTCTTCTTTAAAATACCTTTTAAAATCATGCCATATTTTTTTTTGTAAGTAGGCAGGTGACAGGGACTGTGATTCCTTAAACTAGCTAGAAACACACTCACAGAGGTATTTTTCAATACAATGACATTTACCTACCCACCTATCCACCCAGAAAAAGGGAGTGGAGCGAAGTTTAAATGTCAGGTCAGCTCTCCACCTTTCAGTAGAACACTTTTGTAAACTATTACTAGAGACTGGGATTTTGGACTCAGCATTGCTGAAACCACTACATAAAATGTGAGGGCAACTAAGTCAAACTGAGGGGGAAGGAAAGGACTCCAGCGATGCCAACCCTGGAATGAATAGCCGGGAAGGCTGGGGACCAGAGGGAGGATCCCAGTGCGCTAGTGGGAGTTGGGGGCTGGGCAGATCTCATGTTTCTCTTTGGACTCCGGATGGCTCTGGATCCATGGACTTAACTTTCTGCCACCTTTTGCATTTTCAGTCTGAAATGCCGATGGATGATATGTATGATTTTGATAACAGAACATGCATTTGTGAAACCTCTTAGATTTTTAAAAACACTTTCAATGGTCTATCTTTCGAGGAGAAGACAGAAAGCAGATAGCACTCTACAGCAAGGGTTTCCATCTCATCCGGCAAGGTGAAAAAATTTCAAACTAAGAAGTGAAAATAAATATCATAAGGAAGAGACATTGATCAAAGGCATAATGCCATATATACCTGCTTTCAATAGTTTTGGGCTTCAGCTTGTAACAATTTTTATCCCTGGATCCTGAGGATAAAACCACAAGTTTGGAAAGGGAACTTATTAGTGATCTGTCAAAAATATCAAGAAATGTGCCAGAATCTTAGAGACAGGCAAACCTTTTCTAGATTTTTAAAAAGAGTGGCGGGGCGGAGGGTGGGGGGGAAGATAGATTCTGGAAATCCCCATTCAATTAGCTTGACTTGGCTCCATAAAACCATTTAGTGTGTAATTAAGGAGGTATTTTTGAGCACGAAAAAAATGATAATTGCAAAGCAGCCAGCATGTGTTTGTTGAGAACAACTCATGCAAAACCAACCCCATTTTCTTACAAAAATATTGACCAGTCCATTGGGGAAATGCTATAGGTAGTATAATATCTTAATTCTGAGAAGCCATTTGACAGTGTGTCTCAGGGTAGTTTTTTGGACAAAGTAGAGAAATGTGAGCTGTATAAAATGTAACACAAAGGTGGTGATTAATGGAACACTGCTAACCTGTAGGGAGATCTTTTAGTGGTATTTCCTTTAGGTCACATCCTCCTCAACAGTTATAGCAATGACTTGGATAAAGACAGAAGGCCAATTTCTCAGAATTGAGGATGACTCAGAGCTGGGAAGCATAGCTCATACATTATATTTCAATAAAATTGAAAAATGATGAACATGAGTTGTTGCATTTGGGTCAAGAAGTGAATTGCATGAGTACATAAAAATGATAATAGCTAACATTTATTGAGTGCTTACCTAATGTGCCAGGCTCACTGCAAAGTGCCTTGCATGCGTTCTCTCATTTAATCCTCACAACAGCCCTATGGGATAGGCACTGCTTTATGGATGAGCAAACCCAGGCTCCAAGACGATTACTAACTTGCTCGATGTCACGCAATTTATACGTGGTAGAGCCAGGATTTTAACCCAAGGCTGTCTGGTTTCAAAGCCCAGAGGACATTGCTTTAAACAATAACAGCTTTCAACTATTTGGTGCTAATGATGGCCCAGTCACAGTGCTGAGCTCTTCACATCCCATTTAATCGCAAGTAGGTGCTCTCATCCCCATATAGTACAGATCAGGGAGAACGGTCCATTTCTTGCCAAAAGATGTCTAAGTTTTAGTTAACAACAAGGCCGAGTGATCCCACAGAGCAAATGCAGCCCTGATCAGGGGAGGTGATGGTTTTATCAAAATCCACTGGCCAGACGGCAGTTAGGGGTTCTGGATCTCGCCCAAGCATTGCATCTCTTGAGAGAGCTACAGAGAGGAATGGAGAACGGTGGAAATGCAGTCCTAGAGGGAATGTTGAAGACTTTTCCCTGAGAAGGGGAGCCTCGGGCTGGTGGCTGGACAATGTGGAGCCCCTCCCAGGCAGGTCCACTCTTGGCTTAGCTCGGAAGCTCTAAAGCAGCGAGTGCCAGCTCTGGACCAGGGCAGGACGCAGCAGTGAAGCAGGTAGGGTGGGCGTCAGAGACGGAGGCCCCCTTCACCCCTGGGAGTCGGTCCCTGGCCCTTGGTGGGACCTGCAGAGCTCCCCGCTTCCCTGTCACCTACCAGGTGGGGCGTCGCCTGCTGCTGCAGCCGCAGCTGCTCCATCACCTCCTCGTGCTGCCGCTGGCGCTCATTCTCCTGGTGCAAGTACTTGAGCCGGGTGAGCTCAAACTCCATGCGCACTTTCTCCAGCTCCATCTCGGCACTGCGCTCCGCTCCTGGGGCCAGAGGCTGCTCTGTAAGTTCAGGTCCATCGCCCGCCTGGCCCTTGGCGGTGGGGCCAGCCTTGGGGGACGACAACTTAGGTGGCCCTGAGTAGTCTTCACAAGTTTCCATCTCCTCCAGGGAGTCATTAGAAGAGTCTGGCTTAGGGGACTCTGCGTCCTGAGGTGGGGAAGAGGGAAGGTGAAGGGTGGTGAGTTTTCAGTGTGGGGCTACCCGACTCCCACCCCAGGGCACTGCCAGAGCCCCAGGCCACAGCGCCCTGCAGTGTTTGAACAGTGCTTGCTGCCAGCTGCAAAGATCTACGTTGAGTTCTTACTAGAAATGCACTTCCAGGCATTGTCAGGAACTGAGTTAAGGAGAAGGAGAGGGCGAGCTGCCGCAAAGGAATGAAACCCTCAGGGTGAAAGAGGAGATGGCGTGGAGTTGAGGCAGAAAGCTCTCTTTCCCATGACTTGCAAATCTCCATGGAGGTAACTTCCCCATTCCCTACTCCATCTAACTTTGAAAAGAGTTGCACGCCCAGTTTTCCGGGGCGAGGGTGGGGGTGGGTACTGTGGGAGGAAGATACATAGGGTCTGTGCTGAGAGAACCTAAAGCTATGGGGACCAAGAAAGGGCTGTGGAGGAGCTGGGTCCCACCCACAGAGGGAGGAAAGGGCCCCACGCGGGGAGGTAGAGAGGAAAGACCAAAGTCAGCCTCAAGTGGCTTCGCGATCTTACGCAGGGCCCCTGGCCCCTGGTACAGCTGGGTGCCAGTGTGGGGATGGGACGCACAGCACTGTCTCCTTCCCAGCAACCTGGATCCTCACAGCACTCAGCTTCTGTCACGTGTCCCCACAGCACTCTCCCTCCCCTGAGGGGACGGGCGGGGCAGTGAGATGAGGCACTCCCCTTACCAAGGCAGCCCTGGACTTCCCTTCAGATAGGGGGTCACCAGGCGCCATCTTGGGGATGGGCGGGCAGCTTTCCCCTGCCCCGCGGGCTTCCATCGTCTCCCTGTCCTCTGTTGTCATCCTGAAAACCACGATGCTGCCAACTGGGGCCAGAGGGCATCTCCTGAGGCACTAACATTTGGCCTCACCAGATTCCACAGCCCGGCCACCATCACAATCCCCTGTGCTCACAATAACCCACATTCTACAGGTTGCTAGGGCCCTTTGGCAGAGGTTGTAACACCTTTGAAGTGCCATTATTAAGAACCGCAGGACGAACCTTTGCCACCCCTAAGGACCGCTTTGAAAGCTAGAATTCCACCACTGAAAGTCTAGTATTCCATCATTTGAAATCCATTCCCTTAGGGTCCTCTTTTAAATGCAAACTGTACACAGGTGAGTTACAAAGAGCTCCAGGAACCCTGCTATGAGCTGAATTGTGTCCCCCCTAGTCCCAGTAGAGAGATTGAAGTCTAAACCCCCAGTACCTTAGAGTGTGACCTTTTTTGGAGTTAGGGCTTGTACAGAGGTGTTTAAGTTAAAATAAGGTCATTAGGGTAGGTTCTAATCCAGTCTGTCTGATGCCCTTATAAGAAGAGGAAATTCAAGTGCAGACATGCACAGAAGGAACATGAGGTGAGGACAAGGGAGAAGATGCCCATCTGTAAACCAAGAAGAGAGGCTTTGTATGAACCAGGGCTCTCCAGAGAAACAGAACCAATTGGATGGATATGTGTGTGTGTGTGTGTGTGTGAGATACATATGCTTTACTATAGGGCTCATGTGATTCTGGAGGCTGAGAAGTGGCACAACCTGCTATCTGCAAGTGGGAGACCCAGGAAAGCCAGTCTGAGCCCAGTCCGAGCCTAATAACCAGAAGGGCTGCTGGTACAGGTCTCAGTCCAAGGCCAGCGGCAGACCAATATTGAGCTCAGGCAGTCAGGCCGATAGAACCAACTCAGCTTTCCTCCTCCTTTTTTTTCCCCCCTCTGCGGGCTCTCAAAGAATTAGAAAATTCTAATCTGTGGATGGCCATCTCCTTTTCTCAGTCCACCAAGTGAAGTGCTAATCTCTTCCAGAAGCACCCTCACAGACATAATGCTTAACCACATGTTTGGACACCCCATGGCCCAGCCAAGTGGACACATTCGCTGTCACAGGCCTGGAACAGGTTCTGCCCTCCAACAGGTTCTGCCCTCATGGCCTCAGAAGGAATCAACCTTGCTGATACCTTGACTTCAGACTTCTAACCCCTAGAACTTCAGGAAATCAATTTCTGTTGTTTAAGCCACCCAGTCTGTGGTACTTCGTTACGACAGCTGTAGCAAAGTAATGTAACCCCTGTTATCTATTGAGTGGATTGAGGGGGACCAGCAAAGAGATTGGGGGACCGGGGAATACACTTTGTTGCTTTCAATTTTGTGAAAATGACCTCAAATATTTTTGGTAGTTGGAGGCAGGGTTGTATTATGGAAAGAGAAAGGGCTGCATTTGAATTCTAACTTGGCTACTCTCTCTAGCTGTCTACTTATTTGTAAAGGTGATAAGGATTTAGCTACTCCCCTCCATTAGAGCACTGATGTAAAAATAAGATGTATATTTGCCCACTACCTGTCTATACAGGGGCTAAAAAAATGGTAACCAGCATATCATAATTATAAGGGGTGGGTTTGTCATTGGAGAGAGGAAAGTGCTCCAGACCTACCTTCTTGCAAATCTTTAACTGGACGTGACTTCCCTCTCCCAGGACTATGACAGTGGCCATGGAAACTACCCCCCAGCTACTGTGTAAGATGTCAATCCTGCCCTAAGCACCAGTAGGCTTGTCATATCAATACAGGATGCCCCTAGATAAATACTTCTTAGTATCAGTATGTTCTAAAACTTGCATGGGACACACTTATACAAAAATTATTCATTGTTTACTCGAAATTCAAATGCAGCTGGGGATCCTGTATTTTCAGTCATGAATTCTGGCCATTTTAACCTGCTCAAAGAAACAAAGAAATGCTGAACTGCTATTTGAATAACCAAGTATAGAAATGTACAACGAGTGTTATGGGTAATTATGCCAGCTGTATAGCCAACAGCCAGAAAGTCTCAGTGGCATATAGCAACACACATTTATTCAGCTCGGACATCTGAGAGTTGGCTGATTGGTCTTGGCTGGGCTCATCCAGGAGACTTGGCCAAGGCAGCTGTGTTCCATGTCCCTTGTCCTCTTTTTGGGAACAGTGGGCTAGCCTGGGCACGGTCTTTTCACGGCCGTGGAAATAGCACAAGAGGTCTTGGAACTGGCACGCCATCACTTTTGGCCAATAATATAAGATGCTTTTGTGCCCAAATCCAAAGTCAAAGGATGGTGAAATGTACTCTGTTCTCTTAGTGGGAGGAACTGCGAAGACCTAGGACAAAAAGTGTGGCTAGGAGACAGGATGAAGAGTCGGCGCCCCAAAGGCAATCTGTCGTCATGGTCAAGAATGTCAGTGCTGACAGGGCCGGAGCGGCTAGGGACAGTGTGTTGGGTGAGGTGATGTAAGCGGTGGGGAATTGTAACCTGCCCCACCATTCTTTTGACATGGTTTCTGTAAATGCTGACCATTCTGTATCTTGTAGATAGACAGCATGTTTATGTAAGAATCCTAGCAACTAACTTCAAAAGATACAGCCTCAGACCCTTAGGCATTTCAACTCCGGGAGACTTGCTGACCTTCAACCCTATAATGAGGATGACACACACCAGACCATAGCTTGACCAGTTTCAAGGTCCTTATCAGGATTGACTGTGCTGGTCTCCCCATAGCGAACTTTTTACCTCCTCCCCCGATCTCTTTGTTCTGCTTTCCCTTCCACTCCTCATAAAAACCTCTGCCTGCGCTGAGGTGTTGAGATGGGCTTTGGGACAGGAGTCCTCCATCTTCTCAGGTGGCTGGCATTTGAATAAACCATCTTTCCTTATACCAGCACCTGTGTCTTGAGTATTGGCTTTTGAAGCAACAGGTAGCTGAACTGCATTTGGTATCAGAGACATGAAGGGTGAGCGGGATTTGTGCAAGAGGGAAGGACCAGCATGAGCCAAGTCTCAACTGATCATTGTTCTCCATTTGCCTCTCCATTTCTGCTCTCTGCTTTTCTCCACCCTGCTCTTTCCCCAGGAGTTGGACCTCCACGAAGCTGCATTACTTCATTAAGCAAAGCAATCTGCCCTAATGCAAAACGGGGTTTAGGATTCTCATTTCCCCTGTCCCAAGGTGGGGTCCTCACATATCTGTTCTTTAGGGGACTCTGCAGGAAACTGGGAAGGTAGGTCTCTTAAGCCTTGGATTGGTTCAGGCCTCGGGGCACTATGGAGAGAGTTCCCCCTTCCAACACTGAGCCCAGAGAAAGGGACCTTATAGAAAGGCCACATGAGAGAACGATGGAGACAGGACAGGGACTTGAGTGACTGAGGACTGTGCTGGATTCAGCAGCCAGGGCTGGTGCATTTTCAAATGCTTTGTCATTGTTACTACTCAGCCGGTGATGGTGTTTCTGCTGCTCTGTATCCTCTTGCTTCTCACCGACATAATCTTCCCGATATTTTTCCTATCTCACAGCTTCAGGGTATGCGGGATTTCTGCTTCCTCCCAATTTCAATTTACTTGTAACTTCGTCTTCCTGGCCCTGACTGCATGGCCACCCTCTGTGCATCCTGTGTTGTATTTGTTCTGTTTCCTAGTAGACTTCTCCGAGGGCAAGAATCAGAACGACCTGGTTTGCCTCTGTTTGGGCAGAGCGTTTTGTTCTAGCCACGAGGCAACTACAGATTGGGAAGGTGCCCAGCTCTGTGCGCCGGCTGCGGGAAGGTAGGAAGACGGGGAAGGCAGGGACACACGGCACAGTGTGCAGCAGCCTGGGGTTGTCCGGAGCAGGGGCCATGTGGGGGGCCCGTTTCCCTTGGAAGGGGCATTGTATGCAGCAGGCCTCATGCTGAAGATTGTGGGCACATTCAAAGAACATGTCAATGGTAGGTCTGGCAAATAACCAGAGGAGAGACTTTTGTATTAGTACAGCACTCACACGCTTTCATATACATGATCTCGTCTGATTCTCAGAATGCCCTTGTGAGGCAATTTAAAGCAGGTACAATTATTGCTGCCTGGCAAGCAGGGGACCTGAGTCATACAGAGAGCTGAAGTGATGGGTGTCTGAGTGCTGAGGACGTTAGCGGCTGAGCCAGGACTGGAATGCAGCTTTTTCTGTGCTCTTTCCTGTTTTTTTTTTTAAATACTAGACCATGAAGATGGTTTTTGGGGCTTCAGCTGTAAGAGTTGAGATGATTTTCTACCTCAAAAAAGAAAGAAAGCGGTATGTACGTAGATGTTTCTTACAACACTGTTTATAATAGCAAAATAATGGAAGAAAATTAACTTTCTGCCAGAAGGGATCCGGTTAAATGATTAGTGCTGTATCCATATCAAGAATAGTGTGCAGAGGGGAGTTGGGGGCAGGTGGAAGACGGTATAAGGGGGACAACTGGTAATGGAAAAGACTACAATAAAAAAAGAATAATGTGCAGATTTCTAAAAGAACAAGCTTAGAGAAAAAATCCAAATAGGTAGATGCATCAATGCAAATATGGAATGTTCTCCAAAATATAATATGCAGTGGAAAAGTAAAAACACTGCTCCCATATGTATTAAAATATGAAAATATGCCTAGATTATGCCTGGGAAGACACGTAAGAGTGGTTCATGATGGCTGTTGGCTGACTCTGAGTGGGAGAGCTGAGAGATCGGGGGTTTGGGGTGGGAGGGGGACATCCTTAACTGCATATAGTGTTTTCTACCTTTTGACTTAAAAAACATGTGCATATATTACATTTTCCATTAGAACATTAGAGAGGTGTCCGGAAGAGAAATCTTCGCTCAGTGCGGGCGAAGGGAGTTGAGGCCGTATAGCTGTGCTCGAGGAGGACAGGCAGGCCTCTTGGGGCCACTGAGCTGCATCCAACCTGCCCCTCATCTCCCGACCCCTGGGCCCCCGCCAGTCTAGGGCCGTCTCTAATCCGGGATGAATGTCTCACTGCTGGAATGTCCTCT